TATATTATAATTTATGATTTCATGTTTCAAATTTTATAATTTTTTAGTTATAAACTAATTTGGGTTGGTTTTTTTTACTAAAAAGATAGCTGAATACATTTTGGCCAAGATTTATGAAGAAAGATTATTTTTTGCAAGATTTTATAAGAAAAACACTTTTTCAAAATTTTTGGACTTTTTCATTTATATAGCAAAAAAATAAAAATCCCAGCGGTGAATAAATACCACCAAAATAAAGTTTTATCTGTCTCAAAAAAAATGCTAAAAAAATTCATATGGGTACAGTGTTGCATGACCGCGCAATTGTCATTTAAAGTGCGATAGCGCTGAAAGCTGAAAATTGGCCTGGACAGGAAGGGGGGAAAGTGTCCGGACTGGAAGGAGGTGAAAGTGTCCGGACTGGAAGGGGGGAAAGTGTCCGGACTGGAAGGGGGGGAAAGTGTCCGGACTGGAAGGGGGGGAAAGTGTCCGGACTGGAAGGAGGTGAAAGTGTCCGGACTGGACGGGGGGGAAAGTGTCCGGACTGGAAGGGGGGGAAAGTGTCCGGACTGGAAGGGGGGGAAAGTTGTCCGGACTGGAAGGGGGGAAAGTGTCCGGACTGGAAGGGGGGGAAAGTGTCCGGACTGGAAGGGGGGGAAAGTGTCCGGACTGGAAGGAGGTGAAAGTGTCCGGACTGGAAGGGGGGGAAAGTGTCCGGACTGGAAGGGGGGGAAAGTGTCCGGACTGGAAGGGGGGAAAGTGTCCGGACTGGAAGGAGGTGAAAGTGTCCGGACTGGAAGGGGGGGAAAGTGTCCGGACTGGAAGGGGGGAAAGTGTCCGGACTGGAAGGAGGTGAAAGTGTCCGGACTGGAAGGAGGTGAAAGTGTCCGGACTGGAAGGAGGTGAAAGTGTCCGGACTGGAAGGGGGGGAAAGTGTCTGGACTGGAAGGGGGGAAAGTGTCCGAGACTTGAAGTGGTTAAGAGAGGACACAGGCTGTGTAGACATTGGCTCTGAGGAAGAGGCACGTCAAATGCGTCAACCAACAGCCACCTAGAGGTCTTCAGTCCCCCACCAGACATCATTCAGGGTGATCGGACCACGCTGCATTTCTTGTGACACGCCCTTCATTTGATTTTATTCCCTTTGTGAATATTTTACTTTTTATCAATATGTCTTGTTTTTTAAAGGTAATGCACTAGGCCCGTGCGCCCTCTTCTTGTTCCTTCATATACAATACATAGACTATAATGGAAATCGCACTACAAATTGCAAGAAATCATTGAAAATCTTCACAAGCAGCAATAAAGTCTTCATCAATCGCACCTGAAATTGCACATAATTCGTGTGATTGTGACCGGTGACTTATGCTGCTAGCCTTCGTAATTAGATAGAAGGTATATTATAGTTACTTGTTTTAACTTTTTTTTTTTCTTCTCTTTTTTTTCCTCATTTCTGGCCTAGGCCAAAGTGATGTCATACATTCGAGGAGTATTCATGGGAGGAGGGGCTTTCTCAACTAAGCACACCCTCCTGCCTGCATGGCTGAGCTAAGGGCAGACAGATTTCAGGAAGTAAATACTGAATTATCTGCCCTTACTTAAGATGGCCACAGTTAGAAATGCTAGAAGGATGTTTTTCAAAGTGATTTCTCTGCAAAATAAAGCATGGAGACATGGATGGATGGATGGGGGAGTTTGCTTTGAATATTAAAAATGAATGAATGAATTTCGTTTTTGGTTCGTGGTGAATTGTATTGTTATGGAGTCATTGGGCTAATTTTAGGTTGGCAATCTCTATCTGAGCCATCTGTCTCTTTGTTTCTTAGGTGTCACCTTAAGGCAATGGTCTCCAAACTGTGGCCTGCAGGCTTGATGTGGCTCTTGCCTTTATCCGACCCTTGGGGCACTATTCCTCCCACTGATATGAGGCACTATTCCTTCAGCTGTGGGGCATAATTTCTCCCATTTCCACTATTCAATGCTCGGGAACTATTGCTTCCACTGACACCAACAATGGAGCTCTCAGTGACACCGATGACCTACCTGTCACAACGCTCTTTCAGCGTTACCTATAATGCTACCACCTCCCCCTCACTCCCCCTCTCTGTTGGGGTCCCTCAAGGCTCTGTCCTCGGGCCCCTTCTCTTCTCCATCTACACCTCCTCCCTTGGCCAACTCATACACTCTCACGGCTTCAACTACCACCTCTATGCCGACGACACACAAATCTATCTCTCAACCCCCCACCTCACCCTCTCAGTCTCCGCCCGAATCACACTGAGCGACATATCAGACTGGATGTCACTCCACTTCCTTAAACTGAACCTCTTCAAAACCGAGTTTCTTGTCTTCCCCCCAGCCCGGACACCACCCCCTACTGACTTCTCCATCACATCCAACAACGCCACCATCAAACCCGCCCCGCAGGCCAGAGTACTTGGTGTCATTCTGGACTCCAACCTATCCTTCCAGCCCCAAGTCCAATCTTTAACAAACTCATGCAGACTCCACCTCCGCAACATCGCCAAAATCCGCACGTTCCTAACCCCAGAAACCACTAAACAGCTCATCCACTCCCTCATCATATCACGACTCGACTACTGCAACTCCCTCCTCACTGGCCTGCCTCGCCGCTGGCTATCCCCGCTTCAGTCCATCCTGAATACGGCTGCCAGACTCATTCACCTTTCCAACCGCTCCGTCTCCGCCACCCCCCTCTGCCAATCCCTCCACTGGCCTCCACTCAGTGTCTGCCACCCCCCTCTGCCAATCCCTCCACTGGCCTCCACTCAGTGTCCTCCACCCCCCTCTGCCAATCCCTCCACTGGCTTCCGATTGCGCAACGGATCAAATTCAAAATCCTAACACTGATGTACAAAGCCGTCCACCATACTGCCCCGAACTACATCACTGACCTAATATCCAAGTACCACCCAAGCACGCACACTCCGCTCCTCACAAGACCTCCTTCTCTCTAGTTCCCTGGTCTCCTCCTCCCATGCCCACCTCCAGGACTTCTCCAGGGTGTCACCCATCCTCTGGAACTCCCTGCCCCAACCCATCAGATTATCACCTACTCTCCTCTCCTTTAGGCGCACCCTGAAAACCCACCTCTTCAGGGAAGCCTACCCCACCCCCTGCTAACTTGCCGACCTCCTCCACTCTTCCTACCACCCCATCCCCCACAGCTATCTCCTCCTGTGCCACCATCCCCTCCCTCCTAGATTGTAAGCTCCAAAGAGCAGGGCCCTCGATCTCCTCATGTTTTGCATTGTATTGGTATTGTTCTGTCACATGTTCTGTCCCCCTTTGTAATGTACAGCGCTGAGCGAACTATTGGCGCTTTATAAATACTGTATAATAATAATAATGATGGGGCACTAATCCTCCCAGTGATACCAATGCTGAGAGACTATTCCTTCCAGTGACACCAATGATGGAGAGACTATTCATCACAGGGACACCAATTATGGGCCATTATTCCTCCCACTGATACCAATAATGGGGCCACTATTCTTCCCGCTAGCACCAATGATGGAGCACTTTTCCTCCCAATGACACCCTATGATGGGGCACTATTCATCCCACTGATATGAGACACTATTCCTTCAGCTGACACCAACTGTGGGGTATAATTTCTCCCACTCCCACTATTCAATGGTCAGGAACTATTCATTTCACTGACACCAACATGGGGCATAATTTCTCCCAGTGACACCGATGATGGGGCACTAATCCTCCCAGTGATACCAATGATGGGGCACTTTTTCTCCCGGTGATGCCAATGATGGGAGACTATTCATCCCAGGGACGCTAATTATGGGCCATTATTCCTCCTACTGACACCAATGATGGGGCACTTTTTCCTCCTCCCAGATGACAATTCCACATGATGGGGCACTAATTCTCGCATTGACATCAAACTGGGGCACTAATTCTCGCATTGACATCAAACTGGGGCACAAATTCTCTCATTGACATCAAACTGGGGCACTAATTCTCTCATTGACACCAATGATGGGGCACTAATTCTCGCATTGACATCAAACTGGGCACTATTCCTCCCAGTGACACCAATGATGGGGCATTATTTCTCCCACTGACACCAATTATGGGGCACCATCTACTCCACTTGCATTAGTCTGGCCTCTAAAACATCCCCTCCAAAAATCTAAAGGACAATGCGCTTTGTTTCTAAAGTTTGGAGACCCCTGTTGTTAGGCCTCATGCACATTGGGCGTTAGTTTTGCCCCTCTAATCGCCTTTTCTCCTAGCAGAGGAAAGCTGCTTTAACAAAGGCGGTGTTCTCTGTGTATTACTCGTGTTTAGGCGCATTAAGATGTATCACATTTGAGCATTAATGGATTCCATTAGCCAGATATTCATTATTCTGGCCATTGGAATGGATTAACGCTCAGACGCTCCTAGCTTTTCGACGCGTTTAGGTGGCTGAATGTTTTTCTTTCTCCTTAGCTCCCCGCCTGAACAGCTTTTGATGATATTTTTTTTTTTCAGCCTGGAACGGCCTCCTCTTCTAATACATCTGGAAAAGCCTGAGTGTGCATGGCCATATAAACCAACATAGAGGTGCGTTTGCAGGCTGGAGAAATAAAACGCCAAATGCCGGTAAAAGCGGGATTGTTTAAGCCCGGTGTGCATGGGGCCCCAGGCTGACCATACGGTATATAAACAGATTGTTAAAATGTAATCCTAACTATTAGAACAGTGGGAGGAGTCATGCAAATCGTCTCCTTTCATCCTTTCCATCCGCAGCCATTGGCATGGGTGCAACCTGAGAATGAACGCGGCATCCGATATACACTGGTCATCCTAACTACCCACCTGTCGGCTGACAGCGCAGAAATACCCGGCTCTCGTGCTCCTCCTGGCTCTCCTGTTCCCTGTCTACTCACTTAGGAGCACCGAGCAGGAGCTGCAAGAGGACGCCCTCATCTCCACGTCAGGCTCCCCTACCAGGTATATGACACTAACTGCTGATGAGTATTTATTACTAAAATAATTGCATTTCCTTGTTGTGTGTGTACTGTGGGAATGACCAAGATATAGTGGAGAATGTAGGGTCCAGAGAGACCGATATAGTGAATGCAGGGTCCAGAGAGGGATATAGTGAATGCCCGGGGAGACCAGATAGTGAATGCAGGGTCTGGGGAGACCGGATATAGTGAATGCGGGGTCCAAGGAGACCGGATATAGTGAATGCAGGGTCCAAGGAGACCGGATATAGTGAATGCAGGGTCCGGGGAGACCAGATATAGTGAATGCAGGGTCCAGGGAGACCAGATATAGTGAATGCAGGGTCCAGGGAGAGCAGATATAGTGAATGCGGGGTCCAAGGAGACCGGATATAGTGAATGCAGGGTCCAAGGAGACCGGATATAGTGAATGCAGGGTCCGGGGAGACCAGATATAGTGAATGCAGGGTCCGGGGAGACCAGATATAATGAATGCAGGGTCCAAGGAGACCGGATATAGTGAATGCAGGGTCCGGGGAGAGCGGATATAGTGAATGCAGGGTCCGGGGAGAGCGGATATAGTGCATGCAGGGTCCGGGGAGAGCAGATATAGTGAGCAGGGTCAGATATAGTGAATGCAAGGTCCGGGGAGACCGGATATAGTGAATGCAGGGTTCAGGGAGAGCGGATATAGTGAATGCAGGGTCCAGGGAGACTGGATATAGTGAATGCAAGGTTCGGGGAGAGCGGATATAGTGAATGCCGGGTCCATGGAGACCAGATATAGTGAATACAGGATCTGGGGAGACCAGATATAGTGAATGCAGGGTCTGGGGAGACCAGATATAGGGAATGCAGGGTCCGGGGAGACCAGATATATTGAATGCGGGGTCCGGGGAGGCCAGATATAGGGAATACAGGGTCTGGGGAGACCAGATATAGTGAATGCAGGGTCCGGGGAGACCAGATATAGTGAATGCAGGGTCCCGGGGAGACCAGGATATAGTGAATGCGGGGTCCGGGGGAGCCGGATATAGTGAATGCAGGTCTGGGAGACCAGATATAGGGAATGCAGGGTCTAGGGTGACCGGATATAGTGAATGCAGACTCCGGGAGAGCAGATATAGTGAATGCAAGGTCTGGGGAGACCAGATATAGTGAATGCAGGGTCCCAGGGAGAGCAGATATAGTGAATGCAGGGTTCAGGGAGAGCGGATATAGTGAATGCAGGGTCCGGGGAGGCCAGATATAGTGAATGCAGGGTCCGGGGAGGCCAGAGATATAGTGAATACAGGGTCTGGGGAGACCAGATATAGTGAATGCAGGGTTCGGGGAGATCAGATATAGTGAATGCAGGGTCCGGGAGACCAGATATAGGGAATGCAGGGTCTAAGGAGACCAGATATAGTGAATGCAGAGTTCGGGGAGATCAGATATAGTGAATGCAGGATCCGGGGAGAGCAGCAGATATAGTGAATGCAGGGTCCGGGGAGACCAGATATAGGGAATGCAGGGTCTGGGGAGACCAGATATAGGGAATGCAGGGTCTGGGGAGACCAGATATAGGGAATGCAGGGTCCGGGGAGACCAGATATAGGGAATGCAGGGTCCGGGGAGACCAGATATAGGGAATGCAGGGTCTGGGGAGACCAGATATAGGGAATGCAGGGTCTGGGGAGACCAGATATAGGGAATGCGGGGTCAGTAGTTTATTAACATTTTAAACCCTATTTTTGAAAATGTTGAAATTGTCTCTAAATTCGCAAATGCAAACTAAAAGAATAGAAGTGCTATTGTAGTAAACCTGTCTGTGGTGACACTTCGTGTTGCAGACGTTTATTCTACAATAGTTGTTATTGCGAAGATTGTGAGTTTACTCCTTCTCAGTAAAAGTGCGGTGGTGGCATTTAAAGGGTTTAATTGCTTAATTAACTTAATCCAGTGCCAATCGCTCTCAGGCTGCTGGCCTCTAGACTGTGATCCAGCAAGCTGGAAAATCTAGGTGCAGGGTGCAGCTGAGAGTGGCATTGTTACGTAAGTGACCACAAGGTGTGAGATTTGGCCGGTCCTTTGTCGCAAGTTGGTCAGAGGTGCAGGGGTCGGGCACCACGTTCTCCACAATACTCAGTGACGCGACTAGTCTCAGGTGATTTATGGAGATGAAACAAATCCCCCCACATAGGTTGTATGTGTTTATCTGCAGCTCTCTCTCCTCTACAGCCTTCTAAAGCACACAAATCAAAGACTTTCTCTGAGCTTCCAGAAGGCAGTGGGCGGGGATCTGATGTCACACACTGCACAACATAGAGAGAAGAGCTGAGTGTAATCTGAGACCTGAGTGGAAGAAAAAGACACACCCTCCTGTACGCAGTCTCATAAGGAAACATGCACAGCTGAGGCTGTCAATCACTTTCAGTTTGCTGGAGGTGGGTGGTGCCATCTCCTGAGATTCTGTGGTGTCAGAAGAAGCTGTCAGAAGTGACTTATGTGATAGAAGTGGGAATAGAGAGCAGACAGAAATAACACTAGCGGCTTTGGATTAAGGCAAATGCACACTATAGAGGGATATGCCTTGTCCTTTTTCATTTCAGAGGTTTACAACCACTGTAAGTCTAGGTTCACACCTATGCGTTTTCCGCTGCGTTTTGTAGAAAGGCACAGCAGTCCATTTAACACGAGTTCCTATGGGACAGGCTCACATCTCCATGTTTTCACCCAGTGCGTTTTTTGCAAAGGGTCAGGGACTTTTTTTAAACACAAAATGTGGTTTTTGGTTCTATAGACCTCAACAGAGATGCTGCAGAAAAGCATGTAGTGCGATTTTTAATGCATTTTTTATGTGCAAAACGTGGCAAAAAATTGCATGTGTAAAAAAACAATGCACTGCAAAAAGCACTGCAGAAATGCATGGAACACAAACTGCATAGGTGTGAACCGAGCCTAAAGCAGTTTTTTATGCTTGGGGAAATACAATATTTCTGCTCCCACAGACATTATGTCTCGATGATTAGTTATAGACAGGGGCGGACTGACCATTTAGAAACTCTGGCACTGCCCGAGGGCCCGGGGTCAGTAGGGGGCCCCATGAGATGCCCCTGGTACCTTTTTCATAGGCTTTTTTGAGTTTGGGCAAGGACACAGGGGCCCCATGATCCCCTATTGCCCGGGGGCCCCATGAGTTGTCAGTCCGCCCCTGGTTATAGATGAAGTCTTCTTATGGATTGCAGCTTTCCATCAATATGTTATTATACTTTGAAGCTGTTATGATAGCTGGGTGGGGTATCCTTTATTCTTGTTTTGTTTTGCTTTGTTTCGTTTTTTGGGTTTTTTGTAAAGCCCTGCGTGGCGAGCATTGAATGTTTGGTTTGTTGGTAATTGTTTTTTATGATGAAAAGGGGAAAAAAAAATAAATGATTTGAAAAAAAAAAGTTTTGTAAAAAAAAAAAATAAAAATATAATATATTGCAGCTTACCAATGCTAAAAGGTGGGGGTTGTATTCAGTTTCTTTTTTAGTTTATATTTTCCTTTATTTTCACCTGGTGATCCTGCCAGTAAAACACTTTCTGTCCTAGGGTGTTTCCACTCTGGATGGAGGGGCAACGGAGACACCCTTTAAAAAATCTATAATATTAAAATACAATATTTATATAGCTCATCCACTCCCTCATCATATCACGACTCGACTACTGCAACTCCCTCCTCACTGGCCTGCCTCGCTGCTGGCTATCCCCGCTTCAGTCCAACCTGAATACGGCAGCCAGACTCATTCACCTTTCCAACCGCTCCATCTCCGCCACCCCCCTCTGCCAATCCCTCCAATGGCTTCCGATTGCGCAACGGATCAAATTCAAAATCCTAACACTGACGTACAAAGCCGTCCACCATACTGCCCCGAACTACATCACTGACCTAATATCCAAGTACCACCCCCCCCCCACACACACTCCGCTCCTCACAAGACCTCCTTCTCTCTAGTTCCCTGGTCTCCTCCTCCTATGCCCGCCTCCAGGACTTCTCCAGGGTGTCACCCTTCCTCTGGAACTCCCTGCCCCAACCCATCAAATTATCACCTACTCTCCTCTCCTTTAGGCGCACCCTGAAAACCCATCTCTTCAGGGAAGCCTACCCCACCCCCCTGCTAACCTGCCGATCTCCTCCACTCTTCCTACCACTCCATCCCCCACAGCTATCTCCTCCTGTGCCACCATCCCCTCCCTCCTAGATTGTAAGCTCCAAGGAGCAGGGCCCTCGATCCCCTCATGTTTTGCATTGTATTGGTATTGTTCTGTCACATGTTCTGTCCCCCTTTGTAATGTACAGCGCTGAGCGAACTATTGGCGCTTTATAAATACTGTATAATAATAACAATAATTATATATATATATATTATATATATATATATATGATATATATGACATTGGAAGGATCTAGGATGTTTTCTGGGTTGAAAATGGTGAAATTTCACTTTAAGCCATAGAGAACATACCTGCTAACGACTTTTAATGGGAAGACTGATCCAATTAACTGGCTTCATTAGCTGAGATATGAAACCACAGCCCAGCCTGGGAATAATCACTTGTTTAGAAACAGACATGGATTTCTGCTTTTGTAATACATCTGTCATCCATCCAAACTGTCATCCGTCTCCCCCTAATAACAAGACTTCCATTTACAAACGGCACTAAAACTCCTTATTCTACAAAAATGCTGCATACACATCCACCACTGAGCCCTGCTCCACACTGGTGTGAGTGTCATGCGAGTTGACAAATCCAAAATCGCAAGAACCCTATTGCCGGTAATGGAACCATTCAAACCTGTGCGACTCCGACTTTGTCAGAGCAGCTCCAATTTTCAAAATCGTTCCTGCACTATTTTCGTCGATTTCAGTTGCGATTTGCATAAACATCTGTCAGTCAAGTCACACTTGAAATTGCAGTGACCTGTGGCTTTGAAATTGCGCTAGTTCAAATGAAGTAGCATGATTTCAAAGTTGCATTCAGTGTGGACCAGGCCTTTGATGTGAATTTGCACTCTCTAGCACTCAAGTAGCATTAAGGTTTCATCAATGTTGCATCACAGTAGTGCAGAAGCCTTTATGTGTCCAAAGTTTCATGTTAGGGTTAAGAGCTAGGGTTAAATGTTAGGGTTAATGGCTGCTCTTAACCCTAACATTTATCCCTAACCCTTATCCTAACATTTAACCCTAGCCCTTAACACTAACCCTAACATTTAACCCTTAACCCTAATACTAAAATGTAACCCTAGCCCCTAACCCTAACATTTACCATAGCCCTAACCCTTACCCTAACATTTAACCCTAACCCTCAACCCTAAGCCTAACATTTGACCCTAGCCCTTACCCTAGCCCTTAACCCTAACCCTAAAATGCAACTTTTGACACATAAAGGTTCCTGTACTCCTGCGGCTACTCTTTACTCTAACCCTAACATCTATCCCTAGCCCTTAACCCTAACCCTAGCTCCTAACCCTAACATTTAACCCAAGCCCTAGCTCCTAACCCTTACCCTAACATTTAACCCTATCCCCTAAACCTAACATTTAACCCTAACTCTAGCCCTTAACTCCAACCCTAACCCTAACATTTAACCCTAACCCTAGCCCTTAACCCCAACCCTAACCCTTACCCTAACATTTAACCCTATCCCCTAAACCTAACATTTAACCCTAACCCTAGCCCTTAACTCCAACCCTAACCCTAACATTTAACCCTAACCCTAGCCCTTAACCCCAACCCTAACCCTAGCCCTTAACCCTAACATTTAACCCTAGCCCATAAACCTAACATTTAACCCTAGCCCTTAACCCCAACCCTAACCCTAACCCTTACCCTAACATTTAACCCTAACCCTAGCCCTTAACCCCAACCCTTACCCTAACATTTAACCCTATCCCCTAAACCTAACATTTTAACCCTAACCCTAGCCCTTAACTCCAACCCTAACCCTAACATTTAACCCTAACCCTAGCCCTTAACCCCAACCCTAACCCTAGCCCTTAACCCTAACATTTAACCCTAGCCCCTAAACCTAACATTTAACCCTAACCCTTAACCCCATTCTTAACCCTAGCCCTTAAATATAACATTTAACCCTAGCCCCTAACCCTAACATTTAACCCTAGCCCCTAACCCTAACATTTAACCCAAGCCCTAGCTCCTAACCCTTACCCCGACATTTAACCCTAACCCTAGCCCTTAACCTTTACCTTAACATTTAACCTTAACATTTAACCCTAGCCCTTAACTCCACTTTGTAAGTGGGAGAACTTGCACAATTGGTGGCTGACTAAATACTTTTTTGCCCCACTGTATAATAATATGGTTGTGGTATCACATAGCTCAGCACTTTATTTAGGTTTTAATTTTGTTGTATAGTGTCCCATAGAAAATGTTGATTCTGAAAGGAAAGGAAAAATTTTCTGACAAATCTATTGGGGTGTACTCATTTAAGCGGAGCACTGTCAGAAATTTTTTTGTAAAATATAAAAGATGATGCTACGCTGAATAAATAGGTACCAAACATGTTGCACTTTATAATTGCACACGCCTATGCAACAAACAACATACATTTTACTATTCATAGGTGACACTTTAAAAGCCTTTACAGGTTACCACTTTAGATTTGCAGAGGAGGTCTGGTGCTAGAATTACTGCCCTTGATCTAACATTCGTGGCGATA